TGGGAGTTTCCATAGGAGTTTTGAATCAGGAGGATGTAAAGTAGGGTGAGGTGAACAACGACACAATTGGTTTAGTGAAAGATGAATTCTTTCACTGTTTTGAAAATCATGTGGTACGGGAGTAGAAAAGTCCCATCGGCTCAGATCATCCGCAATGATACTGTCTACGCCAGGAACATGGCTCACATCCAATTCAATACCTGTAGTTGAAGCCAGGCACGTGAGGATCTCGACAAAGAGACATAGAGGATGAGTCGTAGTAAATAATTTGTTGCTCACGCTCTCCGCCCCCGTGTTGTCGCTCAAAGACTTCAGACATATGGGAATGCGAAAACCAGGAAAAGAAGTAGCCACTAACCATACCAAAGCGATTTGGGCTAGAGTTTCAAATGGGCGGATGAAACCTCCAATTTGACAAAAGGAGCCAGCTGCGCATGCATCTGCTGCCGCAATTCCGTTCCAAGACGGCTTTGCTCGCATAGGTCGAGATGGAGAGACACCCATCAGCCAATGATCAAATAACTTCGAAGTTTGCGTTTGGAGGAATTTGGATTAATAATCCGTAGCCAAATTCTGTTTTCAGTTTTGATATGTAATGATGCAAGATCTGCCAAGGGATGAGGAGGTCATCTAACTCTTGCAGTGTGGTCGTGCGGTGGACGCATCTTTGTTTAACCGCGCCCAAGGTGGAGTGGCCATCCAACTGACATTAGGGAGTCCTCAAGGAGTCCGTCCCCATTTGTTCAATGACTGTTCCCAGCAGTGGGACACCTATTGTGGTTTTGAGGCTGATGTGTGGCCGGTTGCTTTGCCACGTTTCAGCTGCCAGGGGGTCGCGCTTGGCTACTTCGATTCTGCTAGGGCTTCGAACTTTGGCTGCTCTTGGAGAGGGAGAGCATCTTCTTTGAAAATGAGTCGTAGCCCATGCATTGGTGTCATGGGGGCGGTAGAGCCCTCTGTGGCTACGGGGCGGAGGGATTTTACACCTATCGCACTTTGAGAATTGACTACCCTGATGTGGGATGAATACATTGATGTAGTTGACATTCCAGGCAACGGCCCCTTTTGGTTTGAACTCAGCCGTAATGCAGCGAATCTGTCCGCCTATTTTCTTGGTGTAGGACTCATGTCGGTCGACGGACGCAGCTACCTTAAGGCTAAGGAAGCACGCCTGAGAGGACTCTGAGATGGCTCCCGTTGTGTGCATTAGCTTTTAGCAACCTTATTGCTGATTTTTACACTTGCTTAGCTTCTCACCCCTGTTAATTTGTTTCAGCCATAGACTATTAATTCGTTTGTGCATATTTCGGAGACACGGTGGGCTTTAACCCTATCGTGTCGGAGGCAATCCCTATGGATTTGTGTGGTTTTTTGTTTGGTGTGCCGGCCCCGTTTTGTGTTGTTTCGCTGTTTTCTCTGCTGGCGAATCGCAAATCTGGCCGGGAGATTTGCGTGTCGTCGCTGTTGCTGTGTTTCTTCTCGTTGTGTTGGTTTTTCCATGATTTGCCTCGTTTCTGAAGCCAAAGTGTTTTTTCATATTTTTGCACACTTTTCTACCGCTTCTCTCGCTGTCAGGACCGAGCCTTAGAGCGAGATCGGCCGCAACAGAGGTAAAAAAAAGGCTAAGGTAAAGTTCTCGGAACCTGTTCGGAAAAGAAGAACTCAATTACTACAGCTTTCAGGTGGCCCAGCTGGTTGGAGGACCCTTCCAGTGCGTGCATTGTGCAGACCTGACGAGACATATACGTAGGTAGGGCGGGTTGAGTGGTCAGCAGCGTATGCAAAAAGTATGGTTTCTTTAAAGGGAAGATGCCCAGTGATTTTTGCCATCTGCTGCTACCGCACGTAAGTCATGTAGGGCATGCCTGTCTCGCATCAAGCCAATTGTAGTCTGAGCTCTTCGTGAGGATAAGCCTGTATCACATGCTCTTAGTCATTTTGCTTCGTGAGTCGCAATACTGGTTGGCAGTGGCAAGCGGGAGGACAGTCCATGAGGGGGCCTGATCGACAGACCATCTGTCCATTTGGCTCTCATTAGCCTGCTGTGGATCTTCAAGGAGGGCCAGTCCCACGTGGTTTTCCCTCTTCGCAGTCCAAACTCGACGTCACAACACTCCACACCACCAGGCATGACAACCGGGCCGTCGTAAGATACAACCAGATGCTTGGAGGGAGGGACTAGCAGAAAACTGACTGGACCAGAAAGCTCCAAGGGACTAACCGAGGGGGCGGGCAGACTCCTCCGAGGTAAAGAGGGACGGTACAAGGGGTCCAGACAATGGGATCCGGCAGGACCAAGCTGCCGGTTTCAGAAAGCTGCGCGGGACACAAAAATGCGGCGTGAAAGGGGCATTCAAGGATCGCAGCAGCATCAGTTGGAATGCCTCGTGCCATGAAACTGCACTTCTCTGCGCTTCAGGGTAGGACATCCTGATGAAACACTGCAAGAGTCTGAGTCATGCCAATCAGACCAGCCATATCCACTGGAGAGACGATATACGTGTGCTGGATTGCTCTTGTCAACGCAACCGTCGCCCGCCCAAAGTCCTTCCTGTCGTTAACCACGCCGCCCTCCGCTGAGGAAACCACATTTGGATTGCGATGAGAGCTGTGGCTCTGGCAGCAGACGAGGAAGTAGATACTCGTAGCCCACCCTCCAAGTTGTTTGAAAGCCTTGTGGTTCCCTGACGTCACGGTGATAGTACTGAGGTATTCCCAGCGAAGCTACTCCATTTTCTGCGCAAGGCCAACAGCCTTCGAAAATTCTAGACTTACCTGGGTCAGCGTCCAGGACGTCGTCCTTAACACACTAAAAGACCGTCCACGCAACCAAGTCAAACACTCCCAGAGCTCAGCCACTTTTACCAAACACACAAGCACAGAAATGTCTTGCTCATGTCGCTATGGTTCTTGTTGGTGTGTCACGCCTTGACACAAAATGATGCGGAGTCGCCAGTTTGCATCTTTCTGCCAACTTCACAAAAGCGATCAAAAACAAATGTCTTCACAAAAAGTCTTTACATCAAGACATGGTTTGTTTGTTTAAATAAGTTTGAGTGTTTGAAAAACGTTGAAACATTTCAAGCACCAAAACATGATTCATGATGTCTCCCTCAGATCTGTTAGCAACTCCAGTTCTGAATGCCTTTCAGAATGTTGCTCTCGTTATCATCATTGAGACACAAAACAAACTAAACTTCTCCGATCAATGTCAAACAAAGTTCCTTCTTCCGAAGTCACAAAATGAATTCTACGATCTTCTCACGATTCCTTCATGCACTTCGTCGACGACAACTGACGCAAAAGGTATGAAAAATGGTTTGATTTTCCATGTCACTATACAAATTCAAATCCTCACAATGTTCTCCGTGCAATCAAAGTACTCAAAGAAGACGAAAAATATATCGTTGTTGGGCTTCGTCATCTCCAATAAAACGTGCAAAACATGAAACGTGCAAATACGATGTCAACCATCACGGTTGAGCTCACCATCAAGGTGAAAACCAAATTCACTTCTTCCAATGCAGAAAAGACCAATGAAAAGACCAATGGATTCATCTCACGGATGTCGGAAATTTTCCCACCCCCTTTTAAAGTTTACCAAAGGTCCAGAAACAGAAGTTAAAACAGCACAAGGGGCAAAAGCCCACAAACATAAAATTACCCTCCACGCATCCCTCACCTTAACCGCGCAACGTCGGACGCCAAACGAAATAAAAACTCAAACACAAAAACAAGCACAGCTCACAAACTGAAAAACATCAAATCACAAGACTGACATGAAACTGCGTCTTCACTGGTCACGCTCAAATCTTTTTTGTCCATCGGCGAACTGGGGTTCAAGATTCAATTTCCACACGCTGCATTTGGTCCATCGACCTTTTCAAGTGCTTCCTTCCTTTCCATTCATACATTTCGCATCAAACGCATTCCAAAGAGGTCATAACCTCACGTTTCATTGAAAGGAAAAAGCATTGAAACATTGTGAAAACATCTTTGCCTCATCAGGCCCCTTCCACTTTAAGGGCGGGACAAACGAAGTGAGACAGGGCGGGTCAAACAAACACGTTGGGATGAAGGTTTCCCACCCACTCCACCCTGACTGCGGCATGCAACATACAAGATTGAAAGACATCCACGGCATGAACATGTTCACCTCTTTGTTTCTGTTTGTTTTCTTTTTTTTTAATCATTCACCATATATATATATAAGAAACATATATATCCGCACATGTCGCGTAGACGCGGAGACATATAAAAACAGAGCAAGGGAAACGCACATCAGGTTTCACCAAAAACATGTCACAACATCAAACAGAAACACACAGAACATGAGCTGAGTCGAAACAAGGTTTGGTGGGCCTGTTTCAAAGTAATTACTTCGTAAGGCGTCTTACGCGGAGGAGGAGGAGAGGCACAATTTTTTAAAGACATAGGTTTCGCATTCAACCACCATGAAGGGTAACACAATACACTAGTGGTTTGCATTCAGTTTCTGGACCATTCGGCACAAGCCTCATTGCTTTGTAAAACTTTAAACCGTTATCACTCTTTGAGTGACCACTGTCTTAAAGTTTACCAAAGGTCCAGAAACAGAAGTTAAAACAGCACAAGGGGCAAAAGCCCACAAACATAAAATTACCCTCCACGCATCCCTCACCTTAACCGCGCAACGTCGGACGCCAAACGAAATAAAAACTCAAACACAAAAACAAGCACAGCTCACAAACTGAAAAACATCAAATCACAAGACTGACATGAAACTGCGTCTTCACTGGTCACGCTCAAATCTTTTTTGTCCATCGGCGAACTGGGGTTCAAGATTCAATTTCCACACGCTGCATTTGGTCCATCGACCTTTTCAAGTGTTTCCTTCCTTTCCATTCATACATTTCACATCAAACGCATTCCAAAGAGGTCATAACCTCACGTTTCATTGAAAGGAAAAAGCATTGAAACATTGTGAAAACATCTTTGCCTCATCAGGCCCCCAGTCCGCTTCAGCCAAGACATGTCTCAAGTGGTTGTCCAGTCATTGGACACTTCGGCTCATCTATCAGCAGCTGACCCAAAAATCTGATAGGTTCCAGAGTGCCACGGCTAGGCGGGTCAGCAATGTTGGACTCAGATGGGACTCGGGTTGCCCAAAGCTGCGATGGAAATTCTTTGTCAACTCTCTCTATGCTAAGCAAAATTTCTCTCCATGTTTTTTGTTTCGCTGTTCCAGGTATGTAGCAATCCAACACAGGCCAGTTGTCGATGAAAATGATGCCTCTCCGGTTGTGCAACCGCTCCTTCCAAACATCCCTAGCCACCGCAACAGCGTACATTTCAACCTGTCCAATTAGGTGTTCTTTACCTTCGTTGTGCCATCGAGCCAGAAGGTCCTTGGGGACATGGCTCCCAAAAACCCTTGCCGGTGCCGTACCATCCAATAGCACTCCACCAATCATTGCCACTTCGGATGTCACTCCTGGCTCGTGTGACCCATCAGTATACAAAAGTAAAGGGCAGTCTTCGGTGTTCAACACTATGGTGCGCGGACGGTTGTCCATAAATCTTTCCTTCAACATCTGCAAAGCAACTCTCGCATCACTGTCCAAACTGACACTAGATTTTGAATGCAACCCAAGTGATCGAATGTCTGCCATAGCCAATTTGCCTGTTCTCCCAGCCAGTTGCCCATCCGCAAATTGCAGCCGTCCCAAGACCGACGGCAGCAAACAAGGAGTGACAGCCCCTTTGTCAAGGATGTCCTCGATCGCACTCAAAGCTTCCTGCCTCCTCGACTCTTTCATCGCATAAACAAGCTTGCCCTCACTCACCAGGCCGCAGTCAACGACAACTCCCAAAACCTCTGCACTTGTTGCGAAAGGCTCCAGTTTGTTCTCGGCAAAGCCAAATCCAAGGAGCTTCAACATTCCTTTTGCTGCAGCCATAGTTGAGGCAGAAATCTCGCCAGGTGTCAAAATGGGGTAATCGTCAAAATAGTTCACCCAAGGCAGTCGCAGTTCAGTCACTCCAATGGCCCATATCATTCTGCCTATCCTGTTGAAATTGTGGACAGACGAACTGGCCCCAAACGGCAAGCAGTTCATCACATAGTGTGTCGTCCCTTTGCCGTCCAAACGTTTCAAGCTGACAACCGATTTGCACCTGTCATCCTTGTGGATGCCAAATTGTTTGTAAGCGTCTTTCAAGTCCAGGGTGCTGATCAAACACTTGAGGCTTTCCATGTTCCAGGCCTCATGCAGCTTACCACTCAAGCGCTCACCATTCTTCAACGGGATCTCAATGACGCCCCTGGCTGCGGCAACCTTGCAAACAATAGAAATTAACCAAGTGAGCTGGTCCAAAGCATGCAAATCGATCTTTTCGGGACATTCCCAAGCTTCATTGACCCGGTTTTCAGCAAAATTGTCTATGGGCCTCAGTTTGTTTTTCTGTCTGACGGCGAACCTTTGTACCGGCAACCACACATCTCCCAGCAGTTCGCTCACTTGTCCAGCAGACATCGGGCCTTCCAGCCACCCTTTGTCGCCTGCTTCGTTGTCTGTAATGTTGTGCAGTTCAGTCAGGTAGTCCGGCGCTTTTGAGTTCGCAATCTTTCCCAAAATTAAAGGCCTGAGAAACTTTGCTTTTTCCATGAGGTCCATTTCAGTCATTGCTGCAGCTTTGACTTCAGATTTGAACACTCCAGACTTGGTGCCCTTACCCACAAGACGGAAGCCCTCCAACATCTCCTTGTGTATTTCTGTGTCAGGCCATCCAATGTCTTGCGCAAGCTGTCTGAGGAGCAGAAACTGTTTGTCCTTCACTAAATGTTGCAAGTGGTGAGGTATCCTGGCATGCAAAGCTTTTTCCTCTGATTCAAGTTCACATCGCATGCGCCTCCATTCCAAAATCTTCTGCAGCCTAACTTTTGCAATGCCAACTGGACCCATGCGAGGATGTCAAACATACATTTAAGCAAAATGTCAGGGACGTTCATGAACTCGTCAAATGGATGCAGTAAATTTCTGCTGGCTTGCACAAACTGCTGACAAGAGTGAAAAATTCCAAAAACGCACAACACTTGTCCCCTTTTCGCTTCAGTTCTGAGCAACTTAGCCCCTGCCGGTATGTGTAAAACAGGGGACTGAATGACACGTTTGTGATTGACTGTAGGTACCCTGTCCAGCACAATGGTATGGATTGCAGCGTATTCAGCAATGAGTTGAGGCACCTTGCGCCCTCTCGGTTGAGAAAAAGGCCTGTAAAGCTGTTTCGACTCACCGTTCTCCACACCTGGACCCTCGGGGACTGCTGTAAAATTACCTGCACGTGTGTTCATCAATCGTGCCAAAACCTGACAGTATGCTTCACAAAACCCTTGGGGGTATTGAGCCTCCTTTGCAGTGTTAAACTCGTTTTCATCAACACCCCATGGAGCATGTTCATGAGATCCATCGCAAAAGACACTGAGGGATTCAAACATAGTTTCATTCGTCAGCAGTGAAGTCTTCTTTTTCCGAGCGCCCCCAAACATACAAGCATGCAAGTGCACAAAGAAACAACATTCCAATAATGCCATGATGATGGGTAGCTCCCCCAACCAGCTGCGCGTGGGATTCTCTATCGTGATGATGTGGCCCAATGTCACCAGCATTAACGCAAATTTGAATGCTCTCTCGTACAAACTGTTCGCCGCTTCCACCTTCTTGGCATCTGACGGTGAGTTCCATGGCAAGCCCATTGGGTGGGCGGCATCTCGAAGCGGTGGTGGGCTCCAAACGCCCTTCAATTGAATCTCTCTTGCCCTGCTACAAGTCCCACACGGTAACCCCATGTGCCATGCCACAACTTTTGAAGTATCACGCACGTGCTCAAGGAATGACCATGCTTTGTCGTTCGCCAAATCTATCTGAAAAATCTTTGTAAAGGGTGAATGCCTATTGCGTTCACAGTCAATGGGGCAAACTTTCATTCCATACCTTTCGGCAGTAGAACTGAGGATGCCGCTACCTGCACAAAGCTCGATGAAGACCGTCTCATTTTCTAAGCTCGGCACACCAAGTTCCCTAAAAATTGACTCCTTTCGGGGTCGTTTGTCATCCACTTGTGAGACTGCCGTTTCTCCTGCATCCACTGATAGTCATTCCCTTTTCTTTGAAGCCCTGGGGCAATCTTTCGCTTGGTGATCTCTGTGGCATCCTGCAACTGCACACAAATGCAACCCTTTTGAACACCTTGAGTTCTGCACCGGAAGGCTGCATTTCCCAAGCTGGAAGTCGTAGCATAGCGGGTTCCCTTTGTTGGTGATTCCTACGCATCCCAAACTCAAAAGTTCCTGAGGGACAGATGGCTTCCATGTCTTTCCTGATTTACCCTTCTTTCCAATGCCTTTGGACGGACTTGGTTTGTCAATGGTGCGCTTGACTGGTGGTGCACCGCCCTTCTCGCCCGTCTTGCCAGGTGTATGTGACGCCTGAGGCATCGGCTGCAAAAGATGTTGAACCTCGGGACATTCCATGACCGCCTTGAAGACCTTGTCACATGGCCTGCCATCCTGTGTCACCTTCAAGCCCATGCGGGTTCTCTCACCAAGCACCACAAACAACTTTGCATCGGCCAACTGCAACTGTTTGAAAGTGACCCTAGAATATCCAGAAGGTGGATCAGTGAGTCTGCATGCCATCAATTTTTCTGCCCATTGTTCATGCAGTTCAAAACCAATCACGTTTCCCTGTTCCAGTGCAAGGCCTCGTCTGATGAGGCAGTACTTGATCTGTAACTCCGATGAAACTTCACATGGGGACACATGCTCTCGCTTGCTCATCTTAAGATTACCGTTGCTGTCAAAAGTCAAGGCATTGTCCTTTTTTGAAGACGTCAAAATTTCATGTTCCCTTGAAACACAACTTTCCCACGGAATGTATCGAAGTCTGTCAGACTCATAAATATTGACTGCAAGATCTACAAGTGAGTCTCCAGGTTCCATCTGGCCTTGCATGTTTATGCCTTTCAGTCTCTTCTGTTGTGACGAAAACCGTTCAGCCCTCTCTGCAGCAGCTAACTTTCTATTTGGGGCTTCGTCCGTCTGTTCGACCAATGTTTTCATCTCAGCTGAGGTCGCGGCATACGACTCATTGAAAAGTCGTCTGATCATGGCCATTTCCCCTAAGGAGCCTTCACGGCCCAGCACCTTCTTCACAAGATCCGTAAATGGGGAGTCATCTGAACTTCCAGGCACGTAAGATGACGCAAATGCAAGATTTCCCAAAGTTGCTTTGCCTCCATCTTTGAAAAGCTGAATGACTCCTGCACTGAGTCCTATTGCCGCAGCCCTACTCGCAAAAACTGCTTCAGAGTCCACGACTGACATCGCAGGCAGGATCGAAACAAAGTCAGCTTGAATGCAGTTGAATGGACATGAAAAACTGTTGAAACAAACATCCGCAATCTTCAAAATACCTTTAAGTGAAACTTGCAACATCACGAAATTATGCATAGTTTTGCACTCGTGCACATGTCATTTATCTGCAATGGACACACATTCATGTCGCTCGCATTGCTGTTGACTCACACTAGAGCCTGAACACACATACATTCCAAACATGTGGCATTCCACTCAAAGTTGTGTGCATCCATCGACGCACAAAGATGTTCCACCAAGAACCCATCGGTTCAATCGTCATTACGATACATGTATGCAACATTCAATCGAGGTACATCCCTCTACTTTCATAATCAACATGTCAAACGGACTCAATGCAAATCCGAAATTTTTTCAACTTCCGACATCATCCTCGGTTGATAATGCGCTCACATGTAGAGCACAAAGGGTGGAGGAAGTCTGGCTTCTTCTCCAGTCTGATGTATGCCGTGGTTATCCTTCTCCCACAGCAAAACTCGGCACCTGCTTCATCCTGCAAGACATGGATGCACCGGCTGGTGCTGTGTCTGAAAAAGACTGCAGCGACTTTTGACCAGGATATGTCACGAGTTCCTTGCCAATGACCTGCGATCGCATCGATGGCTTCCTCGGCTTTGGCATCCTCAACATCCTCCTCGTCGCCCGAGGATTCGCTCGAGGAATCAAACTCCTCGGCTGCAGCTGTCACAAAGTACCCGGACCGGGTTTGATCCGGTAGAAATGCACCACTGGCCACCGAGTCTATCACTCGCTGCAATTCCCTCAGTGGGGTGGACATCGCATCTCTTGCATAGGTGTTGATGCTCTTATCACCACTGGAGGTATGATAACCCAATGCCCTCCGAATGGATGGGTCCAACCCGAACTTCGCACACCAGCTGAGGAGGGTACATTTCATGCTGTGTGTCCCAACGCGGCTCAGCTCGGGACCTCCAACATCTTGCAAAAGAGATCTCAGCCAAATGCCTGCTGAACTGGCACTGAGCGGTACGTTCGCCCATGACCCACCGTCGTTTGGAGCCGGCAACAGTGGTTTGCCTTCAGCAGCCTCCATACGGGCTTCACGCCTCAATTGTAACCATGCCCTGCTCCAATCCAAGCCACTCACCGTCTTGACCGGTGCAGACATGGGCAAAAACCTGGTTTTGCGCTCCAAGTTGGATGCGGTTTTGGTTCGTGCTGCATCAGCCTCGATCCAACCATGAGCGTGCCCGTCCCTCAAGGTGATGTCCAATCGCAAAGCAGCCACATTCAAGGCATCAGAATATCTGGCCCTGCAATATGTTGTAAAAACAAAGAAACCAGCCGCTATGCGATCTTGCGATCCCCTGGCTTCGTCAACAACAATCTTCTCCAAGGCCACCAATTGCTCCACACTCAGTGGCGGCTTCTGCACCAATCGGCGCTTCTTGAGAAACCACGCGTGTGTCAAGCCCTTTGTCCTGCCACTGGCAATCTGCCCAATGTCACCCTTCAAGCCCAGCAAATGGTGCGCGAAGCTGATTGAGATGATAAAACTCCTTGGGAAGGTCGGGGCAAATCCATCATCACTGTTGAGAAAATCATAGACAACCGCCTCCTTGACCGGCCACGGTTTCAGGCCATGTTCACTGCAGAACTTCGCAAAACGAAAAAGAGGGTTTGCCCGAGCATGCAGAGTGTTGGACGCTTTGGCAGCCAATGAGTCCCTGATGCTTTCATTCAGCCCTCCTGAAGCAAAAATCATAGCCCCTTGACTGAAGTGTTGTACAGCCACTTCCCATGCCATCGGCTCTGATGACACTAGTGATGTCCACTTTCTGATTGCAGCCTTGCGTTCAGACGACAACCTGTCAGTCCACAGTGTTTCATCACATGCCTTAAGCAACTTGAGTCCAGCCTTTTTGAATGCAGTGTCAGCATTGTCCAGGTAAGTTTCAACACGTCCACCTGTCGCTGGAGCCTCTCTGGGAACGAAGTCACGCACAGGAAGTGGAACCTTGTGCACATCCGTAGCTCTGTCATAAGGACCTATGAACCTTCTCTCCCATGGCATCTTGATGTTGTTCGAAAACACATGCTTTGTAGCACTGACACATGAAAGCAAATGTAAACCCATGGCATCATCATCAATCGCTGTCTGAAAAGCCATCCCAGATCCCCCCGTCTGCTTGGTCGCTCTCCCACTCTTCCAGCGGAGGTGTAGGAACACTGAAGGATGACAGCACTGAAGCCAGTCCAAGGGTCTGTGCCGTTGCGCCTAGTGCTACTTCGGATCGTTCGACTGCCACAATGATATGCACCCGTGACAAAATGTGCTGTTCAGTTGGTGTGAGCAGTTCAAAAACTGAGACAGAAATGTCGTGAAATCGCCAGACCCGGTCGAAAAACAAGCAATGGTTGAATCCTGTTGTAAACCTGTCCAGCGAGCACACCAATCTCATGCACCAGAAAGCAGCCAGAAAAGGCAGGAAATCCAACCCAGGCTAAAGCACAAAATGTAAATGAAAACCTGAGGCACTTTCCAGGATGCCGGCTCCTTGTCAAAGAGCTTCCGGCCACGATCACGGGCGCCCATGCGCTGGCAATCAAACAAACACGTTGGGATGAAGGTTTCCCACCCACTCCACCCTGACTGCGGCATGCAACATACAAGATTGAAAGACATCCACGGCATGAACATGTTCACCTCTTTGTTTCTGTTTGTTTTCTTTTAAAAAAAATCATTCACCATATATATATATAAGAAACATATATATCCGCACATGTCGCGTAGACGCGGAGACATATAAAAACAGAGCAAGGGAAACGCACATCAGGTTTCACCAAAAACATGTCACAACATCAAACAGAAACACACAGAACATGAGCTGAGTCGAAACAAGGTTTGGTGGGCCTGTTTCAAAGTAATTACTTCGTAAGGCGTCTTACGCGGAGGAGGAGGAGAGGCACAAATTTTTAAAGACATAGGTTTCGCATTCAACCACCATGAAGGGTAACACAATACACTAGTGGTTTGCATTCAGTTTCTGGAACATTCGGCACAAGCCTCATTGCTTTGTAAAACTTTAAACCGTTATCACTCTTTGAGTGACCACTGTCTTGAGATGAACTCCATTCCATGTATAGCTGTAACCCATTCAGACTTCAGCACATATCGCCCAAGTTCGATAGGTCAATACATATAAGTGCCCTTAGCCGAAGGGCTACATAGTGACCACTCATCCAGTTCGACAATCCTGCAAACTACAGTTGTCCACATAGAATGAGATCCTGTATAGATCCAACCACCATCACAGTGTCATCATTCACAAAACTCTCGACGCAAGGTAGTTCCTGCATAGAATGGCACATTAGCCACTTTGCAGTCCACCAAATCTCGGGCCTTAATGTACCTGGACCAATCCCAGGCAGGACCCTTCGCTGAGTCTTTAGTCAAATGCTTTCGAGACCATGACACATAGCTGGGATCTTTCTCGAAGACAGTCTTGTAACTTATCTTCTCCTTACCATACTTTCCAAATGCAAGCTTGGTCTTTCCCCACATACTCATATCTGTAACACCAGCTGGAAGCAGGGCCTTTGTGGCCAAATCTTCGGTGCCTTCCACAGGCTCCATGAGACTACTTCCAACCACCCAATCTGACTCTGTGTCGACCTCAAACTCTTCATCTTCAATTCTGCGCTTTGATGCACCACTTGCTTCAGTTGTCGGCAAAGGCATCTGAAAAGTACGACGCTGTGCCAACTGCTGAAACATCTTCTCATCCTCAATGCTCCAATTGGATGAAGCCATGGCTGCAAAATCAAACCGCGTCCGGTAGTGAAAAAGCACTAGACCGTGGCTAAACTCTTAGGAGCAATCAACCTAGAGCGTAAAATGAAGTGTCGAACCGCCATCACTGTCGTGATAGGATCAGTGACCTTTCAGATTGTTCTGCGCTGCGCACACACACTGATACTCACAGCATCGCGCAACAAAACTCTGCACAAAAATGAAACACAGTAAAAACTCCTGTTTGTCTTTGGCAACGTTTGTTTTTGAAAAACAACGTGCAAACAGAAATGAAACGAAATGTGGATCCAACTTCTGTCTCTCTCTCTGTCACACAGCCCCCTTTCAAACGCAAATTCAACTCTTCTTCTTCGAAGCATGTTTGACTGCAATCAAAATGTATCTTGCCAACTTTCGGTTGTAAAACGCTGTTTCAGTATAGTTGATTTGATAAAGTTCTGCATGAGTCTGACATGTGCATGTAGAAAGTTTGGAGCGGAGATTTAATGCAAACCAAGCTGAATTGGAAACAAACTTCAATGTCTTTCCAATCGGAATACCATCCTTGTTCTGACATCCAGTCTTGCACAACCTCACTAAAGCCTCATGCCTCATGTCAAAACTCTCCAAAAGATTCACTGTCTCAGGTCGGGACCAAATGGTATTTCGTTCTGGAAGCTCAAACGAACATGAGTCTGCATGTTTGAAGTAACCACCAATCGCGTTGATGATCTCATCCCATTCCTGGTCCTTTTCAGTGACTGAGTCCGGATTGAAATTGCGAAGCGGGCTTCCACTTCCACAAGGAGTCGATGCATGAATATGCACCCAAGGTGGACATGACGAGTTCTTCCACTGTCGAATGCAAACAGCTACACGACTCAACGTTCCAGAACTCTGCACCTTAGCAACTACACCAATGTATGGGACCTTCGAAACTTCGCAGACCTTTCTCAAGTTCGAATGTTCCGAACAACACAGTTCCACAATCGCAATTGAAGAACCCTGAGTCAACACCTGCTGCAACACACACAGCTCACGAAGTTCTGCCAACTCAGCTGTCAAACCATCTGGAACAACAATCCCAAGAGCATATCGGTGTTTATAGAAAGCTTTAGCACTCAAGCATTTGGTGAAAAGATCTGCTGGATTTTCAACACCACTTCTGTGTCTCAATTTCAACAAGCCCTCTCTCATCTGCTCTCGTAACCAATGCAATCTTATTTCAATGTGTCGTGAACGTCGTGGCACGTCCATGGACCTCACAAGTTGCAATGCGGAGCTTGAATCGCTCTCCAGCCAAATCACAACTTCTTCTGGCTCATCGATCTCATGAAGTGCAAACAGAAGACGGTGAACCAGTCTTCCAAACGCAACACTTTCTTGACACACTGATTGCAAACCATAGAGCTCTGCCTCACATGAACTCAAGCTCAAAGCTTGTTGCTGTCGGCTCAGAGACCTTACCAAAGACCTCTCAAAGAAAACAGCTCCACCGCTAACACCTTTGCGGTTGTTAAAACGATACGGCGCATGTGAAGCGTCGCTGAAAGAGTGGAGGTGGACTGATCTCAGTTGAGTATCGTCAACTTGACTCATGATGATCTCATCTCTGCTCGGTAGACACAAGCATGCATGCATGTCAACATACAAGAATCTCAAAACTGCTTTCAATGCTTGTTCAGTTCCGTGCATCGGTTTTGCTTGCTGCGTCCCAAGAACAAACATCCATGTTTTCAAGTCATGACGCACCTGTGACAACCAAAGCAATTTTCCCAACGCCTTCCTGAAGCGTGAGTATGCTTCATCTGACAAAGGTTTCTGAAAGTTGCTATCCGTGAGTGTCTTTTCAAGATGTCCTGAAATGTCAAGCACATTCTCAGACCCACGGGTAACACCATAATCCAGAAACGTAGAGTCAAGATAATGTGGATCAACACCCAGAGTGATCTCAGAGGAATCTCTCTCTCTTGATAACACGACCAATAAAGGTCAGGGATCCTCCCTCTTCTCCGATCTCTCCAGTTGTCTTCACAGGCACTACAGACGACAAAGTTGCAACCACATGTTCTTCGGCTTCCTTAGTGGTCGACAACAACAGAATGTCATCAACATACACCACACACAAGCAAAATCCAATTTCATGACCATCTTTCACAATCTGTCCACCATACACACACGGCTCCAACGAATCAGACCAAAGGCCTACATGTTCAACCGTAAATGTCAAAAGCTGCAACCATGCCAGTGAAGCATCACGTAACCCGTTCAGTGCCTTTTCAAGTAAATAGTAGGTCGCTTCACCTGATGGAAAGCTAATCGACAGCGGCAGTTTCAAGACAACATGTACACCAGTTCCCAATGGGCTATGCATGAAGGCATGACTCACGTCCAATGCACGCAAAAGCATCTTCCGTGTCGCTGCCATTGCAAGCACCAAATGGACACTTTCAATCGAAGGAGTCGGACTGCTAAATCCCAAAGATCTAGCTGAGGAGCCACGATTGAAGTCCTTCGCAACAATCCTGGTTCGAACCCTCTCACTGCTTTTGTAAGCTGCAACCCACCTTGACTGGATCAAACGAAGGTTCGGAACAGCCTTCTTCATGTCGTCCAGTTCGGACTGGGTGATGATGCGGCCAGTCTTGCAGTGTTCCAAGTTCCTAACCTCCTCTTGCATACCTTTGAAGCCTTGTTCCAAATCAAGCTCTTGCAAACTCTGGTCATCTATGATGCTGTCCGGTTTCCAAACCAAGACATCCTGACCTCCAAGACGCATCTTCACAAAATCATGCTCATTGCCTCGATTGAAACAAACAGAATCAAGAAAACCAGAAAACATTTCTGGAGATGTTGCCGGAGCAAAAGATGCTGGACCTTCAAGTGTACCCAAACTCGCAACCAACACAGGCTCACCACTACCAACCCAAAACCAGTCAAAATCCATGTTTGTTTGAAGCAGTTCCTCAGAATCTTCACGGATCTCTCTTTCCAACTGTTCTCGGTCGGTCTCAGCTTTCCTTTTAAACCTTCTAGTGTACTCAACCTGTGTTTCCGGCTGTCGCCGAGCGGACTCAGGTGTTGGTACCACTTCTTCATCATCGACCTCTTCTACTGGTACCTGAACCTGGGGTGGGCTCTCCTGAGAGAGTGCAGGTTCAACACGTCTTTCCTTTCTCCGTTGTTCCTCAAACTCAGCAAAACGCTTTCTACATTCCTTGTTGTGCCTAATACCAGGTGCTTCCATGCCACTCTCACATGCTGGACATCGACGAGTCGGTTCAAAACGTGATACGTCAGGTGAAGTTCTTTCAGAACTCTCAGGACTACCAATAGCTACATCT